AAGAGGACAGAGAAAACAGGAGAGAGATGGGGTGGAGGTGACTCACTGATCCCATTTTGGTGAAATGTTTCAGGAAGTGCCCATGAGAAGTGAGTTGAGTTGGCAGTAAGTTATCAAGGACCACAGCTTAAAAAAGATCTAAGTTAGAAATCATTTGGGGAGATTTCTTTTTATTATTTCAGCACAGAGCCAAAAGACAACATAAAAGCTTTTATTTCACTCCGTTCCAAGCAAACAAGTTAATTAGATCTACAAGGCTTACTTGACTGATGTTCCAGGTACATGTGAATAAATAAGATTTGGCTCCAGATAGCAATTACTACTGGCACCTCTTCCTTTCATCTCATGAGACACAATGCAACTGTAAACATCAATCTAGACACAAACACACACACCAAAAAAAAAGAAAAGAAAAAGAAAGTTCACTTTTCCCTGTGGGAAAAAAGAACATAAATTGTTTTTCTGTGGTCCTCGTGGCAGGTGTGTGTGTGCTATGTAGCCCACCAAGCCTCCTCTTCTCCTACGAGTGTAGAAAGCAAATGTGATCCTATCTGTGCTGTGTGTAGTGAAACTATCCTCAGCCTTGAAAAGTGTATTAATCATTAATGAGCTTTATCCCATGGACTCTTCTGTAGTCAGTGCCTTGATCTGTGCCCTTTATAATAATCTGGGAAAAAAACGATGAGAAGCTATTTGATGATGAGATTGTGGATAGTAATGTCTTTGTCTTAACTGATAGGCATGGTATTCTGGCAAAAGAAATGTAATACACTGTAAAGATATATGTGATTCAATGTCATATAAATAAGATTATGATAAAAATAAACAATTTTTTTAAAAAGTGTAATACTACAAAGGATAGTGAGTAGTTTGGCTTCCCTTACAAATTTCACAGTCTTCCACTCAGTCAATTTAAAGCACCCTGCACTGCTTACATGCAATTCAGATGTAACTTATCTTTCTTCTGCAGAAGGAATAGACATGCGTTTTGGAGTGTCATCTGAGGTGGTGACTATTTAATAGTATTGTGTGAGTGTAGACTGCAGGTTGTGTGGCTTTTTTTGATCATCTTCTCATTCCAGATAATATCTGTCACCGTTTTCTCACTTGTCTGTGGACTTCAATGGAATATAATGCACAGTATGAATTTAAAAGCTGAATTATAGAATTAAAAAGCTCTCTCTAATTTATGTTAGGTTGTAGCAATGTATGAAGATCTTTGGTTTATTAATTTTTAAAATGAACCAGGTTTTTAGGGGGAAAAAAAGCTTGCCGAAAAGAGAGGTGAGTCAACAATGTTACTCATAAATAATAATTTGCTAGCACAGGCAATTATTCTTGATTTTGCCTTCAACTGCTGACAGTTTTCATCCATTTATCCTTTACTTCCTTTCACTTGCTTAGCATTCATTAAAATGTTCCAGGAACATCTTGCTATTTTTCTTGAGTGACAGCTGTAACTCAATTCAATGTTTGAAGGATCTTTAACTCTTTTATATTACATGATGTTTGTGTTAAGGATAATTATTATAAACAAAATGCAAATTTTAGAGCGTCTCAAAGGATAGTGAGAAATTGAAATTGAATTATTTATTCAATTTTATTTGTCATTATTATAATTATTTTAATTTACTACAGGGCATATGTGCTTACTATAGAAAGAGAGAGGAAAAGTAAGAAAGCATGCCACCAAGTCTGGGACTTCAACCATGATCAGCCATGTGAGAGTTCGGTGCCCAAACCACCACGCCACCTGCTGTTCCCATAGCCACTTATTTTGAAAACTTATGCAGTTAACAAGGGTATTTTTTCTTAGAGAAAGTATTGAATTGTGTTTTAATCTCATAATAGTTCATCACTTCAAACTTTTTATTTATTTTAGTGGGATTTTTCCTATAGGGTGCATGTGCTCACCAGAGAAACAGAAAGAGAGACAGAGACAGTAAGCGGGAAAGTGAGAAATCATCCCCCAAACAGGATGGCCATGCTGTAGTCCCTTCTCCATTCTCCTCTCAGGATTTTGGACACACATGCATGCATATGTGCCTGGCATGAGCCCCAAGGCACTGGGTCCAGGACTCCAACCATGGTCAACAACGTGGAAGTCCAGTAACATAACCATCACACCATCTGCTGGTCCCACTCACTTCAAATTCTTACTGCAATAATTGCAATGGATTATCCAACCAGTTTTCCAGTCATCATGAGTGGAATGCAAAGCAGGGGAGCTCATGTAAATAACTTAACTACTTTTAATCAAAAACTTCCTTTAAAGGGAGTAATTCAGTAACTTTCCTAATTTTTTTTATTAGCTGCTATATTAAAATTGAGAGACTTAAGATTAAAACTCTTTTTCCATTTCCACTCCTTTCTGCTAGAGATAATAACAATGTACTATACAGTAGGCAATGACAATATCATTTGCACCATTCATGTAACTCTTACAATTCATGGCGCATGTTCATGCTGCCCTCATTCCTCTTTTTCTCTCCCCCAATCTCTCTCTTTCTCTCTCTCTCACACACACACACATGTGCACACACACACAAATAAACCACATGTGTTCCTATTTGGCAACAATTATAATTAATCTTCATTCTGAATGACAAATTGGGTAAAAGATTTCAGACTACTACTTAGCAATACCACTTTTTTTATATGAACTATGTATTAAGCTATAAAGTACACATATCTGTTCTATGGTTGACAAAATGAGTCTGAGTACACACATGCAAACTACAATTTTGTCTCTGCTATGTAGCTCACTTAGTGTTTAACAGTTGTGCTCACTTAGTGTTTAACAGTTTTACTCACCTATGATTTTATTCAGTTCTGTTTCTTGTGCATATCTGTGAGGAGCGGGAAAATGGGAAGATGAGCGATGTCATTATTAAGTAGGGGGTCCTCCCTTACTGCCTCTCACAGCACTCTCCCATGACCCAGAAACCTAACTGGTGGTATGATGTGATTTGCCTGGAATGTGAAGAGACTTAGATTACTCCTTGTTGAATTCAGATGAACAAGCCTCCATGATAATTATAAAAGCCTTTGAAAAGACATACAGATGAGCCTGCTTGGCCATCTGGTCAAAATAAACATTTTCCAGAGCTGTCTGTTTCCACCTTTGACCCTACTTAGGTGTGAGAAATGTAAGGAATGTATTGGCTTGTGGATGAGGTCTGCCTTCACTCAGGTTAATAAGATAACACCCTCATCCGAATGCACACCCTTCCCCAGCACTGTCCAAGTTAGAAGGATGGAAAGGAGGCAAACTATGCTGCAGGAAGATTTATCACCCCCTGAACCAAAATATGCAAACAAAATTTCCAAGGTTGGTCTCAATGCTATTCAAGAGCTCAGGAGAGCTATATGTTTTATATCATGTCCACTATAGGAAGAAACAAAAACAATCTCTTCAGTTTACTAATAGTAGCTTATCTGGGGCAGGAAAATGAAGAACTTATTCTCAACTTGGGCAGTGCACAAAGTGGATTTCCTCTGGCTTTGCAAGCCATTGTTTTCGTGTGTTTGGGATTTCATTTTAATTAGATGCTTTGAAACATGACATCATCTTTTTAATGGACTTGCACTTTAAGGAATAGTGATGTGAGTTGCATGTCCTTTTAGACTCGGTCCCTAGAATCTTGTGGAAACCAAAGATGGATGACTTACAAGTCAAAGGACAGTTCACCTTATGTCTATATAATTAAGTTATCTTTGTTAAGGATTGTTTAAAGTATATACTCATTTACTATTTTTCAACTTCCTTTGAGCCTAGATATATTTCAAATACGTTGTTTTTTGTTTGTTTGTTTGTTTTTTGCTTGCTTGTTTGTTTGTTTTAAGTAAGCTCACAAATGATCTCTGTTTCCTTCATTGTAGCTATCTGCTATAGTTCAGACTCTGGAAGATATATCATGAGGTAAACTATGACTATAGGTAGTCTCAGACAGGAAACAATTATTAAATCAATTCAAACTGTCATGAATACTGGAGAAAAATACAAAACCCCTCAATATAAAGTGCCCTAGTTTAATGACCTAAAGTTGCACCACTTCACACATTTTTGGGTCAAATAAGATTATTAATTTGGTGCAACCTCCATTGGTACAGAGCATTCTCAAAACTGTACAGATACCTTGAAGTCAATCTCTCCCTCCCTTAAGGTTTCAAGACTCACAATCACACATATTAAGTCTGGTTATGCCAATAGATTCTAACCTTACTGATTAGAAGAAACCAAATACACAGATTATGCACAAACCTAGTAAACTAGAAGATGCATAATACCAATTATGCAAATAGCTATGCCTTTTTTTTTCCAGAGTGAAAACAGTGAGAAATGATAAAAGTGAGTGAATGACTGGGTAAAATTTAATTTTTAAGAAGTTAGTCTTATGTGTTTTGTTTCATTCGACTCTATTTTTCTAGCTAAGCTTCTGGGAGGTACATCTCAAAGCCATTAAAATCTCAGATAGAGGGGTCAAACTAGTTCTTATGCCTGAAGATGAGAACATTCTGGGACCAGCAAATGGCGTAATGGCTACGTTGCTGGACTCCCGCTAGTCAAGCATGATCCAAGTCCCAGACCCGGTGGCTTAAATTCACACCGGGTGCGTGTGCGTGCATGCCCAAGATCCTGAGAGGAGAATGGAGGAGAAGGGATTGCAGTGTGACCATCCCCCCTGGGGGTGATTTCTCACTTTCTGTCTCTCTATCTCTCTCTTTCTGGTGAGCACGCGCACTCTATAGCAAAAACCACTAAATAAAAACAAGATGAGAATGTTCCATTAGATACTTTATCATTTTTACACTCAAGCAGTGATACTTTGACCTGAAACTATATACATCTACAGAGTAAAGAGATATTGTCTTACTAAAAGGGGGGACAATAATGAATAAGGAAGTCCATAAGATGAAGCTAACTCTTCTTTGGCTTTATGTCAGTAGGGGTTGGTGTTATAAAAATGCAGAAAAGGTGTCTGTCTCGTTTTTCACAGAACCCATCTTCTACTTTGGTGATGTCGAGTACTCTGTGGATGAGAGCACCAGCTATGTGGAAGTGCGAGTGTGGAGAACAGGCACTGACCTGTCCAAGTCTTCTAGTGTCACGGTGAGATCTCGGAAAACAGATCCTCCCTCTGCAGATGGTGAGCTTTTACCTACATCAGCCCTTTTGATTGCTCTATAATTTTCAACCATGACACAAAATTCTTTAAAACTAAATTACTTTATTCTTATTAAAGTAGTCTAGTTTAATGTTGTTTTTTCCCCCTAAGATTATACAGGAGGTAAATCTAGTCTTTATTTGCTATTGTGGGAAAGTATACTTAAGGACATGAATCAAAAGCTAAGTTCCAAACATGAGAATCAAAAACCAAATTCTAATGCTTGTGTTTGCATGAATTGGTTCTCCAGTCTTAGTAAATCTAACTTTGTTAAATGTATGACATTACATGCATAACAATAATCGTTAACTACAGTCATAGAAACTTAATGATATTCAAATATCATGTAGGTGCACATCTTCGATGGGCTCCCTCCTTATTTTATCTATGTTAAATACTTGGTTCAATAAATACTTCAAATCCAAAAGGTTTTTCTCACTATTTATTATGCAGACCCTCCAGCCTGCTCACCTTTTTTTCTTGGATCTACATCTCCAAAAAATTTATCATAAGGTTTAGGGTAAGGACAGCATTCAGAATTTTTCATGTTTTCCCTCTATGTGACCAATGATATAAGCTTTCTTTCTCACGTGTGCACATGCATACAAGCACACACTTACATCACATACACATCACACATTCTTCACACAAGGCAAGCAGGTATTATTCTATTTTAAAAGTCATCATTAGATTGCTTTAAAGCATTATTTACTTAATTTTATTTATTAGTATTATTATTTTTTCTTAAGTCATGAGAGAGAAGCAGAGAGAGGGAAAGTGATAAAGCAAGTCACCAGGTCTGGGACTTGAACTGTGATCATCTTTGTGGGAGTCCAATGCCTTAACCACCATACC